GAAGTAGGATTTTAATTGAGATTGAAAAGAAGCTAGGGAGGTCAGTAGTTAGAGTGGAAGAAGGAGAGTATTTGAGACATGGGGAACAGCTAGAAAAAGTGCCTGGAGTCAAGAGATAGAGTGTCTTATTTGTGGAACAGCCATTAAGTTAGGGACACTACATAGTGTTAACTGCTTGGGGTACAAGACAAAAGTGATATGATCCTTGTCCCATCACAATGGGAAAGACAGTGTGTACATATAGAAATATAAGTGTACATCAAACACATACAAAAATTAATAAGAGGTAGTTTTGGGAGAGAAGCACTAGCAGCTGGGGAGAATTAGGAAATACCTCATGGATCAGGTGATACTTGAGCTGAGTTTTGAAGGAAACTTGGACACAGAGGTGGTGAAGGAGGAACTCATTCTATGTATGGAGTAAGAGTGCAAAGGAATGGAGATGGGTGACAGAATAATGTGTGCAAGTGTTGGGGAGTAAGGTTTAATAAGACTGGAAAGGAGAAGGAGGCTAGATTATGAAGGGCTTTGAATGCCTCAAAGAGCATCTTGTGTTTGCTCCTAGAGGTGATAGAGGCCACTGGAGTTTATTGCTTAGGGGGGTGACATGGGGTCACACCTATACTTTCGGAAAATCATTTGGTGGCTGGACTGGAGTGGGGGAGAGATCTGAGGCGGGCAGACCTACCTGGAGGCCATTACAGTAGTCCAGGCATGAGGTGCTGAGGTCCTGTGCCAGAGTAGGGGTAGTGTCAGAGGACAGAAGGAGGTATATTCTGAAGAATTTGCAAAGGTGAAATCAACAGGCCTTGGCACCATATTGAATATGGGGGAGGGGTGAGAGATAGTGAGGAATCCAGGATGACTCCTATTTTATGAGCCTGAGAGCCTGGGAGGATGACGGTGGCTCCTATTGTAACAGGGAAGGGGAATGAACAGTGTTTAGGAGGAAAATTAACGAGTTCAGCTTTGGACATACCAAGTTTAAGATATCTTCCCGACTCAAGAGCTCTTTATGCCCTGTGCCACCTAACTGCCTTAAGTACACTTCTAGTCATCCAAGGAGCATATTTTGTTGCCTCTGTGTCACTAATGGAGGTGGATAGGTACTAAACCTCCAAATTACCCCATGATTGGGAAGAAACCGTAGCTTCATGTTAGTGAATGGCTTAACATTCTCCCATTGGTGAGTTTCTCTCACAACCCCTATTTTGTGGAAGGACCCAGGTGGACCAGACTTTCTAGGCTTCAATATCATGAACTTGGGCTAGGTATTTTCATCTCCCTCCTTCTCCTTCCCCTTTCAGATCCCTTTTGTGTGTTGTGTTCCTCAGGAGTATCTTTCTTTTTGCTTATATTTGTATCTCCAGCACTTAGGACAATGATTGGCCCATTGTAAGCACTTAATAAATGCTTGTTTCCTTCCTTCCTTCCCTCCTTCCCTCCTTCCTTCCCTCCCTCCCTCCCTCCTTTCTTCCTTCCTTCCTTCCTTCCCTCACTCCCTCCCTCCTTCCTTCCTTTCTTCCTTCCCTCACTCCCTCCCTCCCTCCTTCCTTCCTTCCTTCCTTCCTTCCTTCCTTCCTTCCTTCCTTCCTTCCTTCCTTCCTTCCTTCCCTCCCTCCCTCCTTCCTTCCTTCCCAGACCTCAATAGTCAAGACATTCCATCCTAGATTCATCTACAATCCTCTCTCCTTTGTTTATGTGCCTGCATACTTATCTTAGAATCATAGGCTTGTAAATTTTGAGTTGGAAGGGAACTTAGAGTCAAACTTCATCATTTTAAAAATGAGAAACTAGGGCTAAAAGATGTTATGTCCCTCACCCAGGGTTAACCTTAAGCCAAGATTGTGAGAAACTGGCATTTGATTAAACAAAAATGACATCTGTTCATCTGAATACTGTAGGCTTTAAAAAACGTCTTTAATCTTACAGACCTTCATTATTGAGGTCTCTCTTCCCTAGATCCACCCGCGTTGGTCTCCATTTTACTTAGCTGGATGCACAGCTATTTTGGAAGAATTTCATTGCCAGTGGAAAACAAGCCCATTGAGATTCTTGGTGACTTGATGAACCCATTCAAAGCTGCTGTTTGAAGCCATTGCAGCCTCCCCTCCTCCCTTTGAGAAATTCTTTCGCTGCAAGTTTTACATTATTAATGCCCCAGAAGAGCCCAATGGCTGCACTGCACCACTGACTTCCAACAAGCAGCGTGGTCGACTCCAGAAAACAAAGGCACGTGCGGGTTTCAAACAACAGAAAATCACTTTGATGATTGCAAGCACACTTGTCTTTGGAAATCCCCAATATTGCATGTCTCTACTAAATTCCTACTGGAGAAGGAAATGGCAAAGCACTCCAGAACCTTGGCCAAGAAGCTTCAAATGGGGTCACAAAGAGTCGGACAGGACTGAAGGACTGACCAACAAAGAAAATGAAATTCCTACTATTTCTATTTTCAACATGCTTTCTTTTCCTACTTCACTACTAACTCATCAGACACGCTTTCAGAAACAGTGTGGGAGGAAGAGCTTCATTTGACTGCAGTCGCTTTACTAATTCAGGAGAAGAGTTCAAGCTTAAAAAAAGCCCATCAAATGTGAAATTAGACTGTTATTGGGAAAAAGAAAGCAAAACTAGATGGGCATCATCAAAGAGAAAAGGTCTCTTTCTAATCATTCTAGAAGTGGAGTGACTTCAGTTCAGTTCCCATTTAGATAAAATATTCAAAATAAAATAAGGAGTAAGATATCAAATACAGGCAAATTTTCCAGCCAAAATTTTCAAGCAGATATTTTTGGAATATACATTGCTGGCCCCAACATAATTGTACTCAGTAAGCCTGGAAAAGACAGATTTACCAACCAATTATGTTCCTCTTTCATTTCTTTGAAATTGAGGACAACACAATCCCCACCGCCATGAGATATATAATGGATTGACTTAAAAATGCCACTAGATATTTTATGCAAAACACTCTTCAATTTCAAATTGCCTTTGAAACTATCCATACTGAAATATGGGAAAGCACTCTGCATAGTTATCATCTAAAATGAGCAAGGATAGGAAAAGACATGAGAAAGTATTAAGGGCTATAAAAAGGAAGGGATGATGAAGGTAATAGTGATGATGAAAGTTTATTAAATAAATGCATCCCTAGAAATGATGCAGCAAAGCAAATGACGAAATGCCTGGCAAGCCCACTCTCCAGGTTTCTTTAATATGAATTGGTGCACATGTTATCAAATCCGTCACCCAGAGCCGAAAATATATGCAGAAGCACACACATGCACATATGCGTGTGCCTGGCAGAGTAGTGCACATCCTAGAATAAACAGATGTGCTCTAAAGCACAGCTCATACATGCAGAAGAAGTCTGATACCAAAAGAAAATGTTTGAAATCTGTCGTATTTTCTAAGGATGCAAGAAAAATATAGAACAATTGCTTTTCTAGATAACAGGGTGTTTTTAGCTTCCTAATGAACATGAAAAGATCAATTCAAAGTAGCAATGAAGAGCAACCTTAGATCATATCGTGACTTCCAGTAGCCCCCTTCAACCTTCATTCTAACCACATATACATTTCAATGCCATTCTTGAATGTGTATATACCACAGTGAGACAAAGGACACTGCAAAAGCTCTGCGTCAACGATGCAAGAATTGGAGAAGACCTAGAAAGGTATTAAGGGCTACGAAAAAGAAAGGAAGATGGAGACAAGAATGAAGGCATGTTTGCCAAACATGTCACTAGATGGGCTAAGCATCAAGGAATGATTGATGCCTGGAAACCCCTCTCTAGATTTCTGTGCAGGGAACTGGTGAGCTCCAACTACCAATGCTGTTATCTCTCACACAAATGTACATGCAGACACATATATATATAAATATGTACAAACACACAGAATACATCTGGAGGAGCAGCTGACATCTCAAACCAAACGGATGCTCCTCAAACCAATGAATGGAAGCATGTTCAATAAATATTTTTGATTGTTTATCTGAATAACTTCCAAACAGAGAAAACATTAGGTACAGCCAAAACAAGAAAGATCTCTTTTTAAATGAAAACACAATCTATCTGCAAATAGAATCAAGTGGAAACACTGCTCGTCTTTCTGCGGGAAATAGGCTGTATGGCGTAAATAAAGAGATCATGGAAGGAGTTTAAGTCGAAATGAAAAGGACATGAGCCGGCAAGATATCAACTGTCTTGTAGCCAGGATTGTAGCTGCCAGCTCTAAGAAAGCCTGGTAAGGTGATTTGAGTAGATGAGCAGGTATGTTTATATTTTTCTCTTTTCTGAAGCAGTAATCTAGATGTCCTCTAGAGAAACATTTAAAAAAAAATTAAATCCATGAATTTCAGAGTTGAAATTGCTTTTTCCTTCAGGAGAGAGGTCAGAGTCCACTAAGACAGGACTTCCTCTTTCCTCTTGTTCCTTCTAGCCCATTTGAAAGGCTGGGATCATAGAAATTGCACTCCAAAAGGTACACATTTCGAGAAGATGGAATATAAGTGCACTGGAGAAATATTATCTTCAAAGGAAATCAATTGGTTTTGAAGCTTCGCTAGCCTTCCTGCAGGTCTGCGCTCAACTTACTACCAAGAGCTAGGACTCAATATTCATCTCCGTGCCATGTTTGTTTTGAACTAGGCCAGGGTACCCAAGTAAGCCCCATATTTCGCGTTGGAAACTGACCTGCCTTAGCAATTTCAGAATTCACTTGTTTTTCCTCACACGATGGAAAAGAATTGAATTTATTCTTGTCAAGGACAAGAAATAGAATTCCACTAAGATCCAATGAGGCCGGAAGGTCTTATTTGGGAGGAGGATTTGATACAGATGACAATGGTCATAGTAATCATAGTGGCCACATCCAAAGCACTTTAAAGGGGGGAACAAAGCATTTTCAACCACCCTTTCCTTGTGGGAGATTGCCCCTTGCCCATTCTACTCCCCTTGGGCAAGATCTAGAGTGAGCCAGGGGCCCAGGGCTTACCTTGGAAGAAGCTTTGAGTACGCAGGTAGCTGACAGTAAGCCGGAGGATGGACAGTTTGTCCAAACTGGAGATGACCTCATTGGGAAAGGGCAGCAGGCTGGCCAGGCACTCCAGCTCAGAGTTCAGCCTCTCCCGGTGCCGCTTGGAGGGGTTTGCCTTGACACCTTCAGAGGAGGCAACTTGGCCCTGCAGTTGGGGGGTGGGAGGGGCAAAGGCAGACATGTTACAATGGTAGGCCTTCCCCCTCCTGCTCCCAACCACTGCTAGTCCTCAGGAAACACGGGGAGAGGAGGACCCAGCCGTTTGTTAGTGGGCTTCTAGCCACACACCCTCAAGCTTTCTTTAAATCATCTGGCCTGGGAACTCCTGCCTAATCGGAAGTCTACAGGATGTTTAGTTTGTCAGTATCTTTTGATCCTGGGTCTTCTGATTCAAAGTAAGGATCATAAGAGAGCTTTTACCCCTCCTACAGGGAAACGACCCGCTTTTCTCAGGGTTCCAATTCAATTCAAACAGCATTTATGGAGGGGTTGCCTGTCAGTCCAGGACTTAGAAGATCCCTTTCCTAAATCCAAGATCATCAAGAGACCTTCCAAGAAAGCCCACGGTGGAGCCAAGACCTTCTGTCCCACCGCCTTTCCATCTTTTATCCTATGGTAAGGCCCCACGGTCTCAGAGCGAGGACCCAGTCTAGAGCTCTACGCCCCTCGCCAAAGCCTGTCGACATCTGCTACTGTACCAGTCAGGGCCAGAGATGACCACATCATGCAGGTCTCACACACAATCTGGCACAACTGGATAGTCATCTGTCCACTCTATAATCAAATGGCAACAAAGAATCAAATCTGGATTCCTTTTGCTTTGGATGCTACAGACTGATAGTTCTCAGGGGGCAGGTGAGGAGTGAAAATATTCTTTCTGAAATGAAAGCTTCCAACTGGAACCTTTTATTGGAAAAATCCAAATCTGATGCATTCTGAAATGAGAGCAGCAGTGTAGGCTCAGACAGAGAAGCAACTGCTGGCCCTGGTCCCCCTCTTTCATGACTGGAGATGCTAGCTTCACGGCAGCCATTACACACCCAGGCCAGACAGCAATGGGGGAAGAGGAGGTGGTGATAGAACCAATGGGAAATGTGATGCTGGCCTCCCTTGCAGAATGGAAACTGGCTTAAATGTTTGTGTCCCGGGAAACAGTCTGTGGGAACTGGAGGAGGGAGGATGGGCAAAGTGGGGAGAGAGTGGGAAACAGAGACTATGAGTTCAAATCCAGCTCTAGCACCGATGAGCTACCGGGATCTCGGGGAAATCCTCCAGCCTTTGGCGCCCCCTCAGGAAAACCGACAGCAGCTCTGGTCTTGGCATTGGTGGTGGTGCTGCTGCTGTGGCTAGTTTAGGTTCAACCCACAGAATCCCCTGATCTAGGGGCAGAGAGTGGGGAATGCACAGGGGGGCTTCCTCTGGTGAAAGCTGGAGGGGGTGGTCCCTTTGGGAGCAGAGCAAAGCCCCCTCCCACACCCAGGGCAAGCAGGGGCCAAGAACAAAGAGCAGCAGCAACAAGAGCGTGTAGGACAGGACAGCCTCCCCCCCCCCCCCAAAAAAAGAAAGAAAACTAGCTGGCTGGGGCCTAGAGGCTGGAAGGGAATGGGGGGTCATTTAGTCCAACCTTGTCTTTTCATGGATCAGGATATTGAGGTCCAGAGAGGCAAAGGGATTTGCCCAAAGCCCTACAGAGGAAATGGGTAGAGCTAGTATTTGACTCCAAGGAGAATATCAACGGCATCTAGTCCAAGCCTCCTCATTTTATAGATGAAGAAACTGAGTCTCAGAGAGGTGCCCAAGTCACCCAGGCAGCTGGGTTTGCACCCGCTTCCTCTGACGCCAAATCCAGCGGCTTTTTCTGTGGCTGCATTTCCGCGGAGGCTGAGGAAGAGGAGGCGCTTCTGGGGGGAGCTTCCACGCACGCTGCCTGTTCCCCATCCTGTGTGTCTTGAGCCCCTAAGCCCTCCCAAGTGAAGTCACAGCAGCACCCTGGGAATCGCTGAAGTCACCAGAAACTTTTCCTCCTAGGATGTGGCGCGGGTCTGGGATCGACAAATCCCTAAACGCAGCCGGTCTCAGTGAGGACCCTTGGCGCAGAAAGGAAAAAGGGCTTGAGCAGGGTCCCTCAGCCCGTGAGCATCACAGTCACCCTACAGATCAGGACCCCCGACTCTCAGGCAAAGAGCCGGGAACTGTGGAGCCGGGACCGCTTTCTACTCTTCGTTAGAACAGGATGAGTTAAGAATGACGACGCAGCTCAGGGAGGGAGCAGAAAGGTACTGCCATCACAACCCTTCCCGTTGGAGGGACGAACGTGGGGTCTGGTCAGAGGGGCCGGGACTTGTCCAAGGACATACAACTGATGAGGCATAGGACCGTGAATGGACTTGAACGAACAGAAGGAGACCAGGAGAAGAATGGACGGGGCAGTAGAAAGTCCCCCTCCGCCTCTCTCACCCTGGCCTTCTGTTCTCGAACCCTGCGGTGGCCTGATGTGTTCCGCTGCTTCCCGGGGAGGGGCCCATGCCCAGACCCGAAGTTCACACCCTCCCCCCCAGGGTCCAACCCAACACCGACACCGACCCCGGGATGCAGAGGATGCCACTTTACCGGGGCTGTCACTCGCTCCCCGGGCTCACATCTACTCCCCGGGGACCCCTAGCCCGCCTCCCCGGAATAAGCGGCCTCGCGGAATTACCCACCACCCCCCCAGGCTCTGGCGAGTCGTCCCCTCCCCTCCCGCCCCCTGCCCTACGGCGGGCCTGGCACTCACGTCCTGGGCACGGGCTTTCTCCGTCGGCGGCCAGCGTACATGGTGCCGTCGGCAAGGGCTCGAGCTCGGGGTACTATAGGCTCTGGGGGGCCGGAGTCGGGCACTGCGCGGGACTGGGGGGGGAGGGCGGGTGGAAAGGCGGGACCAGACAGGGCCTCCCTCCCCCTCGGGCGGCTCGCCACTCCCGCTTTTGGCGGGGCTGAAGGCAGAGGGCTGGTGCGGGGAACCTCTGCCCGGCTGGGGCTCGGGGTCTGGCTGTGCTCGGGGCGGAGACGCAGAAGAAAGCAGAGAAGCCGTCCCTGCCCTCCCCCAGACTGTCCCCTCCCCGGCCCGGCCCGTCACTCCGCCTAGCTTGGCTCAGCTCAGATCAGCCCGGGATCGGGGAGCAAGAGAAGAAGCCGCTCTCTGGGCACCTACTCCTGGCACCAGCGTCGCCCATCAGCGCCCTGCCCTGCCAACGCTGCAGGCTTCCTTTCCCAGGCAACCCCGGACTCCTGCGTCCTTGGCTGCTCCCTCGAACAGCACCTACAGTCCGATCCAGTGACCGCCCCTGCTGATAGTTCGCCGGGGACACAGTTGCCTCTCCAACAGAAGGGCGGCAGTTCCTGACAGTCCTGGCCTCTGATCCCGGGGGCGCCTCCAACGGAGGCCCTAGAAGGGGCCGTCAGGGACATCCCTAGTCTCCATCTCGAAAGGGCCGGAGCCCCGGGAGTTCTGCAGTTCTGGGTGGTCCCAAGAGGGGAGGCCCAAGGGCTGTTTGTACTTGTCAATACAAGAGCAGGGCAGGGGCACAGATTTGGGGCTGGAAGAGGCCTTAGAAGCCAAGCATTCCCATCTCCTCATTTTACAAGAGAGGAAATTTAGGCGTCGCCCAGCTAGCCCGAAGTGGCGTTAAAAGTCACAAGGCCCCTCTAGGTCTTGCTAACCCTAAATACAATGCCTACCGACTGTTCCACCGCTCAACTCAACAATCATTTGTGTCTGTGTGCCAGACACTGCTCTGGGCTCTGGATAATACAAAAGGAGAGTCCTTGCCCTCAGGCCTCTAGGTCAAGTACATTGTTGTCAACAAACCCAAGGTAATTGTGGTGGGAGAGGGCACTATGGGCCAGGAAGATCCCCCAGGCTTCCTGCAGCAGGGAGCAGTTTAGCGAGATCCAAGGAAACCACGGATTCCAAACAGGAAAGGAAGAAAGAGCGTGCTCTGGGGCCTGGATGGATGCTTGGCTGTGCATACAGAGCGAGTTTACTACATTTTCGTTGACTTGGCAATTTTGCTGAATGGCTTGGGTGGTCCCAGTTCCCTGTACAATCAGGCAGCATGTGGGTCTGATCAGCTGTGGTAAAGGTTGGTAAACACACCTTCCAATTCTCCAGTTCCTCTGGAGCAGAGAGAGTTGGAACGTGTCTGGGGACCACCACGGAAAAGGCTGGGTGAGGGAGTGTTAGGTTTAGGGCTCTCTGCTTTTGTCTGCCAGGTTCAGCAGTGCTCCCCAAACTTGGCTCTGCAGGGGGGAACCCTGCAGAGATCCCTCCCTCAGTAGATCATGTGACTCAATGTGTCCGGCAGAGGATCTTAGGTTTCCAGTAAAGGCCAGCCTCCTCTAACATCTGGTGCTCAGCGCCAGTGTCCTCCTTGATTTCTCTCTCTCACTCACTCCAGCTTCATGGCCACTCAGTTGCCAAGATTTATTGCTTTTAACCTCACAGTAGAATCACAGTCTAGAGCTGGAAAGGGCCTCAGAGGCATCTAGTCCAAAACCCCCTTTAAGAGATAAGGAAACAGAGGCTCCAAGGCATCAAGTGACCTTTCCAAGGCATGAAGAGTCTCTGACTCCAGCACTGATATTCTTTCCAACTATCACTCACATCAGTCACATACCGGGCCTAGCACAGTGCCTGGCACGTAGTAGGTGCTTCATACATGTTCATGGATTGATTGATCAATTCCTTTCTCTCTACCCACTGCTCTCCATCTTGTTTTAGGTCTCCCACATGTCTTAGCTTTGCAAAAGTCTCCTGTTTGGTCTCCTTGCCTCCAGCTTCTCCTGCCCCTGCTGCCTCCTCTACACAGCTGCCAGATTCACCCAGCACCATGGCACACCTCTCCTCAAGTTCAGCAGTGCCTTCTTGCCTCTAGCAGAAATTACAAATCCCTCTTTGAGTTAAATACCTTGACACTTGGATCTAGCCGGCCTTTGCAGACTTAGTCCTTGTTGCCTTCCTACCAAAACCTTGTCCTGTCTGTCTCCACCTCACTCCACCCTGCCCACCACAACTTCCCAGCTTCCCTCTGGGTGCATTCTTCTCCCATTAGAATATAAACTCCTTGGGGGAAGGGGTTTTCTTCCTTGCTTACCGTGTATCACCATATTAGAAAAGTACTTGGTACATAGAAAGTGCTCAATAAATGTTTGTTGAATGACTTACAAAAATATTCTGTCTCCTACCTGCTGCTTTGCATGGTCTGGCCCCCATACCTGAAATAGTCTCCTTCCTCATCTTTGATGCTAGAACCCCCAGCTCCCTTGAAGGCTCCGCCGGATTTCTCCTTTCTACCAGAATCCTTTCCTGGGGCCCTCTGGTCTTAGTTGCCTCTCCACCAGCATTTGATATTTATTCGTACATACTTTGCATTTTGTTGTTGTTCAGTCATTTCAGTCGTGGCCCAATGTGGGCTTTTCTTGGCAAAGATCCTAGATCAGTTTGCCATTGCCTTCTTCAACTCATCTGGCGGATAAGAAAACTGGGCAAGCAAACAGGGTGAAGTGACTTGCCCTGGGTCACAGAGCTAGTAAGTGTCTGGATATTCACTCATCTTCCTGACTACAGGCCCAGCACTCCATCCACTATGCCACCAAACTGCCCTATTTGCATTTACTTATCTATGTCCATGTTGTTTCCTCCAATAGAATATAAGCCAGGGGTGGGAACCTGTGGCCCTCTAGGTCCTCAAGTGTGGCCCTTTGACTGAATCTGAACTTTACAGAACAAATTCCCTTAATTAAGGGGATTAATTAATTAATTAAGATTCAACCAAAGGGCCGCACTTGAAGTCCTAGAGGGCCACATGTGGCTTTAAGGCCACAGGTTCCCCACTCCTGACATAAGCCCTTTGAGGGCAGCTACTGTTTTCTTTATGCTTTTATGTCCCCAGGACCCAGCACAAACATAAGGGTGATGCAGAGTTGGTGTCTGACAAATTCTTCTTGGTTTAAAATTTGTCTTTATTTGATAAGTCAGGAGACCTGCTAAATGATGAAGGCAAAACGCCAAGTCCACTATCCTTTTCCCTTGCAGGAAGGTAAATCCAAACCTTCATAGCCCTGAATCAGTATTTCTCTAGGGCTGGTTCAGAAGAATTATGTGCCAATTACCTAAGGGAATTTGTGCCCAGGGGTCAATTATTACCTGGAAAGAGACCATGTTCTTCACCCAAGATAAAGAGTGAGTTCTGGCTAAATGGATTTTCCTTCCACACAAACTTTTTGTAACTAATATGACATGTTAAAACAAATTTTTAACATTTTTTAAAGGTTTGAGTTTTAAATTCTATCCCTCCCTTCTTTCTCCTCTTTCTCCTTCCTGAGATGTTAAACAATCTGATATAGTTTGTGTATGTGCAGTCACGTAAAACATTTCTGTATTAATCATTTCTTCGCAAACGTTTGCTGTTACTCAGAGGGACTGGGGGCCTACTGTAGGCAAGGTTTCTGAAAAACAGCAGATAAATGGGTATTGATCATTTGTATTTCTTCCCTTGAGAATAGCCTGTTCATATCCTTTGACCAAATATCAACAGCAACTCTTTTTATGGTGGCAAGAATAAGATAGTAAGAGGGTGTCCATCAACTGGGAAATGGCTGGACAGACTGTGGGATATGAATGTGATGGAATACTATTGTGCTGTAAGAAATGAGCTAGGCAATGGTTTCAAAGAAACCTGGGGAAGTTCATATGAACTGATGCAGAGGGAAGTGAACAGAACCAGGAGAATGATTTATACAATGGCAACAACACTGGAACAAATCTGAAAGGCCTAAATTCTCTGTTAAACACAATGACCAACCATGATTCCAAAGGATCAGTGATGGAGAATGTTACTGACCTCCTGACAGAGAGGCAATGGACTGAATACACAGAATGAGACGTACAGTATTCTACAGTCAGTATGGGAATTTATTTGACTTTGTTTCCCCTATTACTAGCATAACATTTGACCCATAGCAGGTGCTTAATAAATGCTTATTTTTTTTTACCTGACTAGATGGGGAGTATTTAAAAAACCAGTGATCTGCTGAACATACACTGTCCTATCCTAGGGCAGAGCAGAAGGTGGCGTCTCCCTTTGGGTATGTTCTGTCTTACTTTCCACATCTGGGAGCTGGGAGGCCTCCTTGGTTTCAAGGTCAAAGTGAGCCCCATTGAGCCCAGGAAGGTAATGCGATTGCCTCTCATTTACAGAAATGTCTGTGCCTGTGTCTGTGTCTGTGTCTGAGTCCTGGAGTATTCCAGTTAAGAATTGTACCATCAATTTAGAGACATCATTTGGGATGAATTGACAGGATTGCCTCAAACCAGAAATTCTCCCTGAGGTGCAAATCCTTGCTACTCCTCATGAATTCTCTTCCTCTTTCCTTTTGCTCAGATTCAATGTGGCTCAGTCTGCTAAGTCACACATGGTTCACTGCTCCAAGATCTTAGGCAGGAAGGTAAAGGGGAGGAGGGTCCAGTGGCAATGCAGAATCCCTCCCTTGAGGAAGCAGTGGCTTCATCAAGTCTAGCAGGACTGTGGAGAGAGACTGGACAAGAGGAGTGGCTTCAATTCCAGGGCGAGCCCCATAGGCAAGGAACATTGCTGAACTTCCTCCAGCAACAGTCACCAGCAGATGACACTGGGACTTCCCAGCTTGGTAAAAGCTACCAGAACTTTCCTCCACTGGCTGAGCTTTCAAGACCTAGGTCATCACCATGCCAATGAGGCATCAGAGGGCTTTGGGATCAGAAAAATGCAAAGTTGAGCAAAGTTGTGTGCTGATCA